AATAAAGAAAAAAGTATATAGTTATAAAGACTAAAATACTTATATCTCATGATCTACTGGGTCAAAACTAATGATTTAACCACTATTTTGATCGCAAGATGCTCCTCTAGAATATTTTTTAGAGGCTAAAAACAGATTTACTAAGAAAATATTTAAAAATCACAATATTTGTATAATTTTATTAATTAAATTATGGAAAATATTAAAATCCACAAAATTATACTAATTAAACCTACCTTTATGTTCTATATAAACCTGTTCTACATATAAAATTTATCATATCATTATACATTTACTTTATAATTTTAAATTTTAAGAGAAAAGATGTTTAATTTTGAATTTTTGATCAAAGTTTTAAAATTTAGTATATTTCTCTCATCCTTAAAAATTATAAGGTAAAAATATACTAATATGATGTAATTTTATGTGTAGAACAAGTTTACATAGAACATAAAACTAGGTTTAATTAGTACATTTTTGTGAATCTTAATATTTTCTATAATTTTATTAATAAAATTATGACAAATTTTAAAATCCACAAAATTATATTAATTAAATATATATTTATGCTCTAAGTAAACTTGTTCTACACATAAAAATATATCATATTAGTATACTTTTACCTTATAGTTTTAAATTTTAAGAGAAAAGATGCTTAATTTTAAAATTTTGATTAAAAATCTTTTCTTTTAAAATTTAAATTATTCTTTAAACTGTATTTGGTGCAAATTTGTACTGAATTTCAGATTTTCAGCACATTTTTCACACTGCCTCTAAAATTTACTAAAAGTACTCACTATTGTTTGTAGTACAATACATGCATATATAACTGTAATATATGACTTGATATATTTTTGTTGTAAACAATGATGATAAGGTTCAATGAATTTCCAAAAAAGTTCTTCAAATATAAAAGATCAAAATGATCGACACTTTTAATTTTTCCAAATTGTTAAAAAAAAATAATAAAAAAGAATAGTCTATATAATGACTGATAGTGATAGTAATGCCAATGATAGCACTTCTAATAATAAGTATGATACTACAGATAATGATTCTTCTCCTGATTCACAATATTTGGTTACTTTCAAGTATAATAATAATGGGGAGATGATAATTAACCACACAATAGATTACAAAGATCTATTTATGATACAAGAACAGAATTATATAACCGATTATATCACTGATTTCATGGGTTCTGAATATGAAAAAAGCACCAAAAGTACTTTCAGGAAAAGTCAAAAAAGTAGAGAGGGTGGGAGAGGCAAAAAAATATGAGTAAAGGAATGAATAAAGAAAAGAAAGTTGAATTAAATAAAATACTGACCCTTCCAGAATTGCTAGAGTTTGAGCCAATGGAAAATATTAAAGAGTTTCATAGGAGTTATGCTACATTGCCATATGAAATATAGCAATGTACTATTAGCCTACTTACATTATTTCATCTATTTTTACTAATTATTATTTGCAAATAATTGTCAATAATACTAATAGTTATGAAAAATTAAATAGAGTTAGTAGGTTAAAAAAAGGTGGTCATACTTGGCATTTGTTAACTTTAAAGGAGTTAAAGATATGGATAGCAATAGTTATTTACATGGGTGTTTACAAAATTTACAATATTGAAAATTTGTGGAATTCAGATAAACAAAAAGCTGTACATAGTATTAAACAATTTATGTCAATATTTAGATTTCAACAAATAAAGTGATTTCTTCATATTTCTGATCTGAATAGTTTTCATTTAAACTGGTACTCTAAAGTAGAGCTACTAGCATCCTATTTTTGGGATCTGTTTAAAAAATCATATATACCTAGTTCTCAAGTTTCTGTGGATGAAATAATGATTCGTTTTTCAGGTTAAAGCATACACACAGTAAAAATGAAAAATAAACCAGTACCTGAAGGTTATAAAATATATTTGCTCTGTGATGCTGGATATACATACATATTTATGTTTAGCTCATGAGTTGAAGATATTCCAGATTTGGAGTTAATTGCAGGTATTAATAAAGCTGGATGCATAGTATAGCATTTAGCAAATTAGCTTCCTCGTGAAAAAACTTTTCATATATACATGGATAACTACTTTTTAAGTATTTTTCTTTTTATATACTTATAAGAAAATAATATAGATGCATGTGGAACTGTTCAAATTAACTCATTCAAATTTTTTAAAAAGTTAAAATTTAATAATACTTGTTTATTAGATTGGAATATATTAAGTGGAGTAGTTATAGATAATGTTTTAACAATATTGTAGATTGATAATGGACCTATTACAATGCTCACAACTATTTCTAAAATTATAGGTAATGAGTGGAAAGTTATTTGAAATTGGCAGCGTCCTCAAACAAGTACTAATACAGATAAAGTTTGTCAAGTATTTGGTAAAATGTCACAAAAAGCATTAGCTATTATACAAGTAATTGATGATTATAATAAATATATAGGAGGCATTGACCTTGCAAATTAGCTTTGAGGTTACTACAATTGCCAATTAACAGCACATTATACTTGGTTTTCTTTTTTTTTTGGTTATTAGATACAGTTTTAGTTAATAGCAGTATTCTTTATTGCAAAGCTACAAATACAAAAATTGCAAATACATTAGGAAATTTTTAAATAGGGTAGATATCAATTATCTGCTGCAAAGACGATTGCTATCGATTAAAAAAATCGACAAAAATCAATATTGATAGCTAATTGATACATAAGTGATTAAAAAATAATCGAATTTAATTTAGTTTTAATATTAATTGATTTCAATCAAAGCGATTCTAATCGATTTTAATTAGCAACTTTATTTTCAATTGATTCTAATTAGTATTGCTGGTAATCAGCAGGAGTGCTGCTTATTGATTGACATTTTTTTCTGTCAATCAATTGCCAACCAATTTAAAAATTTCCTGATGTAAAGACTTCAGAATTAATCTTGTATGAATTTAATTCAAGAAGCTTTAAATAATAAAAGTAGCAAAATAACTTAGAATCAATTAAAACAAAAAAAAGCTGCATTAAAATCACCTCTAAAAAATAAAGAAGTTGTATATATTGCTAAACATTTTAATCTAACTTTAAGTCGATTTTCTCTGGGAAATTATATAGTAGAATAGCAAAAACAAAGAGAATCATATATATACTGTCATTATATAACAAAAAATAATAACAAATATAAGAAAAAAAAATTATTTGTTCAATTTCTCAAACTCAATTATGGTGTATTAGATGCAATATACCTCTTTGTAGTTTTAAAGTGCGACCTAATTGCTTTAAAGAATTTTATAGTAAAAAATAAATAAATTCATTAAATATTTGTTTTTATCGTTTTTTATTAGTTTTGTAATTATTTTATAGTATTAAATATTATTTAAATACTATAAAAATAATCTTATAAAATTCAGTGCAAATTTGCACTAAATTTACATACAGATTAAGGGATAAGGTAAATGTATGCCGATATAATGTATTTTTATATGTAGAACCAGTTTACTTAAAGCATAAAGGTAGATTAAATTAATATAATTTTGTGGATTTTAATATTTTCTATAATTTTATTAATAAAATTATAGAAAATATTAAAATCCACAAAATTGTATTAATTTAATCTACTTTAATGC